CTCAAGTGCTGGGATTGAAGGCAAGCACCAACACTACCTGGTGCAGGTTTATATTTTAATAGGTGCTCACAACTTATAACTTAATGATTGAAATTCTTTGCAAAACCAAGAATTCTGTCCCAACCCCAGATTTTATATATGTCTGTGTGTGGAATGTGCACATGAGTACAGGTGTCCGTCCAACAAGACCAGAAGAGGGTATCAGATCCCTTGGAGCTGAAGCTATGGGCAATTTTAGCTGCCTGAGTGCTAGGAATTGAACTCTGATTCTCTGCAAGAACAGCAGGCTCTTGTAACCCTAGAGCCGTCTCTGGCCCTAAAAATTCTTTTAGAATGAGAATAGTTCTCTAGTTGGGATGTTCTGAAGAATTGTTTTCTGTGTTTTAACGAACTGTCAAAGAAGTTTGGTCTACCTATATTTCACGGGCTTTCCCTATGATCTAAGAAGGCTAAGGTTTTAAAGACTTAACCAGGTTATTAGGTGGCTTCAAGGACATGTTAATTGTTTCTTTCATTTATTCCCAAGCATGTTTAGGCCCTTCTTAGATGGGAAACACTATGCAAGACTGTGAGGTTAGAACCCAAAGACAGACACTACCACAGCAATATGGCCTCCAGGGTCTATGTGCTTACGTTTAGGTGGAAGAGACAGGAAACGGTACAAAGTAGACGATTTGCTATTGTTTGAAGAAACTATAGAGTTCATCCAAGATTAGTGTAAAGTTGCCATTTACAGAATATTGTTTTAAATGTCAACATGTATAAGTTAATACAGAAACCAGCAAGTCAAAGAGGGGAAGACTTATAACCAAAATGCATTATAGAATTTACCAAAGGCTCTGGTGGTCAAAATGGACCACTTTGACCAAGGTATCAGGCAGAAATGTCAGGGCCTGGAAGGCGGCCCTGAAACTTGGTTAGATTTAGACTGGAAGAAGAAGAAAAAAAGGCGGGCCTAGCACCCTATGCTAGCTCTGTGCTGTCACGTGACTAAGATGTCTCAGATGGCCCAAACACAGAGGCAACTCTTCCAAGACAAGGAGCTTTACAAAACACAAACAGAAAATCCACAGGAACTGTTTATGTATGGCTGAAAACACCACTCCCTGACCGCTATAGTTTGGATGTAGTTGTCCACCGAAGGGTTCATGCATTAGAAGGAATTGTGAAGGAGGTCACTAGGCATAAGAGGTCACCCCTGGAACTAAGGTAGTTCTCATGAGATTCCTTGTTTAAAAACCCTGACCCACTGCCTGCTCTGGTTTCCTGTCTCCTTGTGTGATTTCTTCCTCGTCCACGTTCTCCAACTACGAGTCCTTCGTCAGAGTCCAGCTAATGCTGGTGCCACACTCGAACAGCCACAAATCGATGTTAGATACATAGACTTATTTTCTTTTTATAATTGGCTAGTCTCGGCAATGTTGTTACTGTAATGAAAACGCCATGCACTAACCATTTGAGATTTCTAAATGTTGGTGGACAAACACCAGCAACAACTTTAGGGCCCTGACTAGCATTCTGTTCCTGCATCTTCTCTGAACAGACTAATTGCTAATGTGCCATTTATTCATATGTTGGTCATACCAAATAACTGCCGCTTATTCTACATTGTATTAAGAGCACCCGACATCTGACTTGATAATACTATTTCCTAAGGCCAGGTCTTGCTATTCTGCAATCTCCCTGCATCCATTTCCCAGACAACAATATTATTTTTTTTAACTTTTGTGTATGTGATAGAAGTCAATGCTGGTTTAAAAAAGATTTTTAAGCCGAGTCTTCAGAAAGTCTGTCTCCATTAGGAAAAACTTCTCAGGTGCCTGACATTGGAAAAAATGCCCAGGATTTGTGACACAGTCTTATTTACCCTACAGCCTTGGTTTTGGGGAAAATAAAGTACAGAGCAGGAATAGAGTTGCAGGACGGGGAGTAAATGTGGGTTCTACTTTAAATGGGGTGATGAGAATAGAGGTGCAGCTCAGTGCCAGAGTATGGACGTAACTGAGCATGCACGAGTCCTGGACTCAGTTGCTAGCACTGAATGAATAAATGAGGTCATAGGTGGGCCTCACCAGGCAATTCCCAAGGAACACTAAATATTAGAATTGAGATGACTGTGGCAATGGCCTCCATAAGCTCATGCATTCCAATGCTTAGTCCCAAGTTGGTGGAACTGTTTAGGAAGGAGTAGGAGGCATGGCCTTGTTGGGTGGGTGTGGCCTTGTTGGAGTGGGTGTGGTCTTGTTGGGGTGGGTGGGGCCTTGTTAGAGGCATGTCAAAAAAGCCCACACCAGGCCCAGTCTCAGGCTCTCTCCCTGCCTGCAACTTGAGGACCATGTGAGCTCCCAACTACTGCTCCAGCCTGCCTATTCTCATGCTTCCTGTCATGATTGGTCATAGACTAACCCTCTCAAACTATAAGCAAGCCCCTGATTAAATGATTTCATTTTTTAAGAGTTGCCTTGGTAGCTGGGTGGTAGAGGCAGGTGGATCTCTGTGAGTTCAAGGCCAGCCTGGTCTACAAGAGCTAGTTTCAGGACAGGCACCAAAAGCTACAGAGAAACCTTGTCTCGGGGGAAAAAAAAAGAGTTGCCTTGGTCATGGTGTCTCCTCACAGCAATAGAACAGTGACTAAGACAGTCCCAGGTGTAAAGGTTTTAATCTGCGACAGATTGGTCTCATTGCTTGGAGCCTTTGGAGGCAGGTGGTGGAAATGGCAGCTGTGCACTGAGCCTGGAGAGGGGGCTCAGTGGGTAGGGGGGTGCTGTCTTGCAGAGGACCCACACTCAGTCTCCAGCACCCACCTCTAAGTACAGTTCTAAGGGATCTGTCACCCTCTTCTGGCCTCCACAGATACCCATGAACACAAGGGACACACATACAGGCACACATAAATAAAAGGAGATCTGTATGCTTTGTGGTGGCTAGGGATAGAGAGATGAAAACGTGGCCACAATGTCAAGATTCCCTTCCTACGCCCCCAGTGACTGGAAGACTTTAATATATTGTTCCAAAACTGCTTATTTGGGTAGCCTGGTCAAAGCAAGACAGCCCACGACAGCTTTCTTTCCCAGAATGCTAATTCACAGTTTCCAGGCACTAAGCCTTTGCTCATAAGGGAAGAGGGCGATGTGCTAAGCTGCCTTCCTCCCCAGCAGATCGCGTGGATAAGCAGAAAGCCGAAGGCTTCAGTTGTTGGTGTTTGATTTGTCAAGAGCTCAGTTGCACTTACCTAAATTTTCTTTTGCTCATTCTTCCATTAAACAACAAAAACATAGCCGTGCTAAAGGCGAAAATGCCAATGGAACAGACACTTGCACATCTGTCTCACAGTCACGTTCTCATGGCTGAGACACTCCTTCAGCACGAGTGCCCAGCGCTGGGGGAGTGGATGGAGAAATAGTGCCATTCAGCCATCAAGATGCGCAGAACCAGATAACATACAGCAAAATGGATGGAACTAGACAGGGGAGGAAGTGAGCTAAGTCAGACACAGGAGAATGAGAACGAACGTGCCCTCTTAAAGAACCAAAGTTGGCCTGACAGTAGAACAGAGATTGGGGAAGGTGAACGGGTGTGGAAAAGACGGGGTTTAGATTTGGTCAGCACACACTTGGGGGAAAAGATACTATGTAATAAGCAGGCTACTCGGGATGTATCACCAGCCATTCTATTACGATATAATGCTAGTGAGAAATTTCAAGCTGGTTTGAAAACTCACAGAGAGGTAAAATAGAGCTGGCGGGAGCCTGGGGGTGAGTTAAACTTGACTATAAAAGGAAAAGAGGAGGCTTCACATCCCTTTCTCCCCAACCCTCTCTTCCTGCTGATGGCTTCTCTTTCCTCCTGGTTCCTTTTGCACAGCCCCAGCTTTGTTTTGGCCGAGGTCTCTCCTTGCTCTGGCTTGCTTTGGCGCAACTCCATCATTAAGATGGATGGTTCTTGAGCCTGAGGATTCCAGCCCCGGCTCCCTTCTAACTTGCTCACGTTACTTAACGTCTGAGCGCCTGTGTTCTCGTGAGGAAGTCAGCCACCGAGCTTTGCAGACCTTCCTGGAGGACGCTGTTAGCTGCAGTGGGCTCCCTGGTACATATTACACAGGCTCACAAACTCACATTTCTCCTTTCTCAAGCGTGCCTTTAAGCCACAGAGCATGCCCACACATTATTGTGTCGCTGAACCCTACGGAGAGGTAATTTAATCAATATACGGAGCTGAGAAATAACTTGCCCAGGCCACAGGGGTCTCCAACCAAGGTTCGCCTGCTACCTCAAGTTGCCATGTTCACGCAAATTAGACACTGCTCTCTTTAGGTAGAGTGGACAGCCCGTTCACGGTGTGAGCCATCTACGAGGTACACGGTGGTACTGTAGCAACAGCAGACATTCTCCCACCTCAGTCTCTTACCCACTCAGTCCCGTTATGGATTTGCTCACATGAATGCTTAAATGGACCCGTTTGCTTATGGCAAGCTGTGGTATCCAGTAAATAATCAAAGGCAATTAAAAAAAAAACTAAGGGAAGAAACAACACGGTTTAAGACAAGTATGAAAACAGAAAAAGGCTCAGTGCTGAGAAGGAAGAGCTTTAATAGGAACACACTCAGGTTTGGGTGGGGCTGGAGGAAGCCTGGGGGATGACGCCAGGAGAACCAGGAAGAATGACCTAGCTTGCTTGCTTCTCAGATGCTGTGGTAAGACACTGACCAGAAGCAGCTAGCAGGAGGAGAGGGTTTATTTAGCTTCCCGGCTCCAGCCCTCATGGAGAAAAGTCAGGACAGGAATCTAGAGGCAGGAACTGAAGCAGAGACCATGGAAGCACCCTGCTTTCTGGCCTGCTCCCAAAGGCTCAGCCTCAGCCACCCTTGTTATACAGCTCAGGTCCATCTGTCTTCTGGAAACAATCCGCATCCAAACTGTAGCAATAGCTAACGCCTGGAAACTCTGTAACCTTGCAGTAAGAAACTTCACTCCCTAACTCTTTTCAGATTCCCATCTATCATGACGGCCATCCGACTACGAGAATTTGTAGAGCGTCGCCCAACGGTTCCACCTAGGTAAGGCTCATCCGGAAACCACCAGGGTGAGGAAGGCAAGTGCCCAGGGGAAGAGAACCACCTGTCCTTCCTTCCAGCCACTGAGGGGCAGCTGCAGCCAGGGGATCTAGTGACGCGTTCTTGGACGTAGAGAAAGTTGGGTTAGTTTTTTAAGACTTTAAAAGAAAAGTGTGTGTGTGTGTGTGTGTATGAGCATGTGTGTGTGTTTGTGTGTATGTATATGCAAATGCTTGCAAGCGCCCTTGGAGGCCAGAAGAGGACATTAGGTCCTGGAGCTGGACTTAAAGGTGGTTGTAAGCTGGATGCTGGGAACTGAACCAGGGTCCTCTGGAAGAGCATCAAGGGGTCTTAACCACTCAACCAACCTTCAGTCCCAAGTTTAAAGAAAGTTATAAGAAAAGAAATTACGTCTTTGTAGAATCCAAGCAACCAGGAAACTCCAAATACAAAAATAAGAGACGGGTTGGCAAGGGCTCCAACAGGAAGAGTGGGGAACTCAAACCCAAACTTTGAATCAGATTTACTCCCTCGGGGTAAATCAAAACATCCCCATTCCTCTGCAATATGGGAGCTGACTGTACACACACACACACACACACACACACACACACACACTGAGAGAGAGAGAGAGAGAGAGAGAGAGAGAGAGAGAGAGAGAGAGAGAGAGAGAGACACCAAGGGGACTCTCATTCATTCTCCAAGACCATCTATAACACAAGAACAATAAGCCCTGTAGACAAGCTTAGCTGCTGACTTTATCTTGCAGGGAGGTGGCGGGTACTACCTATAAGTCCTAAGCCTCTCTCCCATTAGCCCCTGCTGTGAGATCTACAAAGACCAGAAACTAAGAAGGTTGGGGCTGCAAGCTTCACGCCCTAGAGGCCAGCCTCCTGTCTTTTTGTTGTTGTTGTTTTGCTTTGTTTTGTTTCCTCCTCGGGTCTCTTTATTCTTACTCCCTACAAGGCTTTCAGTTTCTCTACACATACAGACACAATTGGCAAGTCTTTAAGCAATAGCAATGATACCAGGCATGCATTTCACAGGGCCACAAAAATGGATAAGTCCAACAAAGCAGGCACCTGCTGGCTTACTATGTCTCAGAGGGGGTGTGGCTGTGAAGCTCTCTGGCAGATACTGGAAGGATTAATTAAGGATGGAGCTTTCAATCAGTACAGAATTCTAAGAAGACAGCCTCATGTCTTATTTTGTTTTTTAACTTTTTAAAATTATTTTTAAGTTATTATAGAAAATAATGGGTTTTATTATGACATTTCCACACAGACAAATCACTGCACCTCACTAGCCTGCGTTCCTCTCCCCCAACTCTCACTGGTCCTCTTGCCCCCTGCAAATAGCCCCCTTTCTGGTCGCATGTCATGTGCATTAGCCCAGTTCTGAGTTTGTGTCTCACATATGTATACTTAAATCCAGATTCTGTGTAAGAGAGAACATATGCCGTTGTTCATCTTTCCCCCATCGCACCCCCTCTCTGCCGCTTTAGCCCTCTTTCTCTCGCCTCATCATGGGGGGCCAGCCCCTTGGAGCCCCAGTGGTCTGGTGGACTTGAGCAGGCCTTGTTTTTACTTCCTGTCCAGTTCTGGATATCTTAAGAATCCCCTTGTCACGGTGCAGGCGAGATGCTCATGGCTCTTGTCACCAAATCTGAAGACCTGAATTCGATCTCCAGAACCCCCATGGTGGAAAGAACCAGCCCCTGCAGGTTATCCTCTGACCTCGACATGCGTGGCACACGTGTGTATCCACACACGTACACAAACCCATACGATAGGTAAATAAATGTTTTTAAAAAAGACTTTTCTGTCAGAGGCCACACAGACCTTGCCCCACTGTTTTCGAACTCCACCCCAGGAGACAGGAGGAGGGAAAGAAATCGGGAGCAGGTTCTGCATCCCCTCATCCCTTCCTCCCCTCGAGCCACCTATCCGTCTGTGTGTGGATGAGATCACTTTGTCTACTGTGGGCTCATCTCCTAGGAAAAATGGAAACAAAGCTTTGTTGGCTGCTGCTCTGGGGAGCTCTGGGGAGCCACATCCGTCACTGTGTCCAAGCCAGGCCCTGAGGAGCGCAAGGATTTGAGCAGTGTGCCTCTGGCTGGGGCCTCTGGCTGTCGGTGTTCAGCTCACTCTTGCTTCTCATCAGAACCACATGGCGGGAATCCCTACACTTGCCCTAATCTTGGTGCCTCACTCTCCACTGCAGCATGCCCTATGAGGGGGCTCTCCACCCACCTTAGACCCCACCAATAACAGTTTAGTTCCCCAGTGAGTTCTACCAACTCTGCCACCAGGATAGTGCTATCAAAATGCTCATATGTTAGCTAACTTGGCCCCGCGGCTGTGGCGGCACAGCGTGTCACAAGAGCCGTGTTCTAGTTACTTTTCTCACTGCTGTGACAAGATATCTCAGGGAAGCTACTTAAGAAGGGTACAGCCCCACCAGCATGGCAGGGAAGACGTGGCAGCAGGAGGTGCCTGGTCACACTGTCTGCTGTCAGGAAGTAGAGGAGGGTGAGGCTTGCACTCCACTTCCTTCCTCTTCCTTATTCAGTCTGGGTCCCAGCCTAGGGGCTGGCAGGTGCCTCCCACATTCAAGCTGCATCTTCCCACCTCAGTTTAACCTCTCTGGAGATGCTCTCACAGAACACACCCGCAGTGTGTCATCTAGACTCCCATCAAGCTAACAATCAAGACTAACCATTATTGGCTGCATGCCTATAGTCACCCAGGAAGCAGAAGTGAGATGGGGGGATGAGAGTTCCAGCATCCCCTGCAAGGTTACCTCCCCCGTGACCCATCTTCATTCTAGTAGCTACCTCCTCTTCAGTGTTCCACTTTCTCTTTAGCACCATGGCCTAAGGATCAAGTTTGCATCATGGGCCTTTAGGGGCCGTTCTCGATGCAGGCTGTGTCCCCAGCTCACAGTCTCAGGGGGTCCATATCTTTGCCTTCACCAGTCATCTGTATCAGTGTACACACTCATCCTCCAGCAATCTGTTCTTTAGCTTGGGCTTCGTAAAGATCACAGCCCTCCCTGAAATAAACCCCTCAGCCCACTACACCTGGGGCCAAATCCGAATTCATTGCTGGGTCCCACGAAGTCCTCGCAGGCCCAGCCCTTCCCTTCCCATCGGTCTTCAGTCTCTTCAGGAGAGGCTATGCTTCTTCTCGATCCCAGGCCTTTGGGGACGCTCCTCCTTCTCCCTGGACTACCACGCCACACCCCCACACCCCCTTTCACACAGTGTCTCAGCTCCCTTCCAACTAGTTAGACAGCTACTTCTTGAGTACCTTGGCCAGCAGAAGACTCCTCCTTCTATCACAGCCTCCAGTTTTCCTTCTTAGGATTTGCTTCCTACCCATCTCACCACTGGTGGAAGGTAACAGGCATCTCTACTGTGTGTCAGCACTGGTCTTAGCATATGCTTTCTATTTAGCCTTCATAACAACTGCGAGTTCCAGACAAGGGAGCCGAGGCATGATGAGGATAAGCGACTGCCCCAAGAGCCTACAGAGCCGGAACTTGACCCCACTGGTCTGGCTTCACTGCGGTTCACTGTTTGGGTTGGTCCCCACTCTGGTGTGGAACTTTCTTGCCCATCTCTGAAAATCGCCTCCATCACTTCTACCTGACAGTAGTGACAACACAGAGCAGGCCCTCTGTGCGCTGTTGCTAAGGAAACCAGCAGGAATGAGCAAAAGTATTCGGTGGTGGTTTGATTCTGGTCATTGACACAACTCGGGTCTGCCCTTCTTCTGTTTGCAGATACATTCATCCCACTGATCCCTTCATGGCTAGCCCTGAGGGCTAGAATAGTGAAACTGACGGGCAAACTAGTCCGGGCACCTAATAAAAGTTAGCAATTAAGGCTCAGGAGTAATCTTAGTGACCACATCTGAGTCTCGCAATTCAATTAGAATTCAATTAGAGACAAGTGTTAGCCGGTGTCATCCCCAGGTCAGACTGGAGGCCTGGTGTGTGTTGACTAGGGCTGGATGCTCTGTTAGTTTGTGGAGCCCAAGATATTCCTAAAAAGATCCCCCAAATGGAGGAAAATCAGTGTGGTATGGGAGATCAAAAGCGCAGGATTTGTGTCAAGTTTATGGTTAAGAATATTCACTGCTCTTCTAGAGGACCAGGCGTTAGTTCCCAGCACCCACATGACTATATCAACCTTGCAACCATCTGTACCTCCAGTTCCAGGGAATCTGACGCCCTCCTCTTATATATGTGGGCAGTGTACACACATGCAGTGAACACACATGCAGGTGAAAAGCACCATACACACAAGTAAACAGCCACAGCAGCATCGACAAACATCAACTGGAGCTATCATTCAGTGGTAGAGAATATGCTCGGCATGCAGAAGGCACCAGGTTCAACCTCCAGCATCAAAATAAATAAATATTGTGGTGGTCTGAATGAGAATGCCCCCCCCCAGAGGTGCAGATGTTTAAATACTTCATCCCTAGTTAGTGGAAATGAGTGGGTGTGGTCTTGGTGGAGGAGGCGTGTCCCCAGGAGTGGGCTGGCCCAGCCTCTGCCTCCTGCCTGTGACTTGTGCATCAGGATGTAAAGCTCTCAGCAGCTGCTCCAGCACCATGTCTGCCTGCTTCCCACCGTGATGTTCATGGTCTAACCCTTTAAAACTGTGCGCAAGACCCCAGTTAAACACTTCCTTTTATACAAGATGCCGTGGTCGTGGTATCTGGTCACAGCAATAGAAATGACTATCAACTGTAGCATCCTGACAACATCCAGACACCACTGCAGGGTCAGCTCATGCTACCTAGAAAGACAGACATCTAACGAAGAAGAGGCCTTTCGGTCTCCAGCTACAAGTGTCTCATTACTCATGTTCCATCATTGATGAAAACAGTAGCTAGAATTCTCATTTTACTGATGAGCGAATGGAACCTGCCCTCCTGTTCCTTGAGGGAATACCATGGAGCCAGTACTTCCTGGAGGGTGAGAGGATGTTCCGGTCATCTCCCAGCCCTGTCTTTAATCTCATCCTCTCTGTCAGCTCACATCCTTAGCTGAGATGCTTAGCTGCAAGCTTTAGTTCTCAAACTGATGGAGGTGGGTCTTGTAATAATAAAGAAACTGCCTCGGCCCTCACAGGACAGAAAATTAGGTAGGCGGAGTAGACAGAAGAGAATTCTGGGAGAAAGAAGCTTAGGAGGAGTCGCCATGGTTCTCCCGCTCCAGACAGATGCAGGTTAAGATCCTCCCTGGTAAGCCAGCTCGTGGGCTACACAGAATATTAGAAATGGGTTAGAACAATATGTAAGAGCTAGCCAATAAGAAACTGGACCTAGCCGGGCCAGGCAGTGTTTGAAAGAATACAGTTTCCGTGTAATTATTTCTGGGTATTTCTAGCCATGCGGGCGGCCGGGTGCCGGGGACGCAGCCCTGCCGCCGCTCCTATTTCAACATCAAACATGCTACAGTATGCACCACTGATGTTAGCATGTTGTCTAGACATGGCTTCTCTTACCAGAAGATAAACTTCGGGTGAACGTACAGGACCTACCTACCAACAGCACACTCCATTAGAACACTGTGGCCACATCGGAGCTTCCGAACACTCCTTCTGGTTGAACCAAAACCAGCTTACCCTGACCCTTTGGTACATTGGGTCCACTTGCCTAGAAGTGGGAGAACCATACGGTCCAAACAGAAGTCGTGCCAAACTCCCCTGGAAAACAAAAATCACACATACATTGTAGAGAACTCTGAGTAAGACATGGAATTAGGGACTGGGCTTGCTCCACGGCTCTGGTACTAACTGCTGCGCGGTATTCAAAATGTGCGCTCAGCTTCTCTCTTCACTGTTAGCAAACACCTATGAAAAGTTCATATTTACCTTGAGAATGTACCTGAGTATTAGTCTTTAAGGCTGGAGGTCCAGCACAGGCAACCGAGATGGGCACGTGATGGTATTCCCTCTGGCAACGGTACCGTGTAGACAGAAAACCCTCCTGATTTCACCCATGCATGCTAAATGTTGTCTGTGGCCGAGTTCAGATCCTGCTCTGGTTACAGTCACCCTCCCAGGGACAGATCCACTCTTGTGTAGATAAACCTACCCTATCAGACAGCCATGCTGTCAGGGACATGCAAATAATGCAGTGGAACCAGACAAGCTGGCTCGCCCATGCTACCTTAGGAGAGCTTTCTATGACAGATTCAGGAATCAGTAACCTCTGAGCAGAACCCTGGCCTGGTGCATGGGACGTTCCCATTCATTCGTCCTTCCCCTCCAGCTGAACCTCCAGAAGAGAAGCTGAGTGCTCACTGCAAAGCCTTTGGCCAAGCCAGGAGCATTTCTCCTTGTTGAAATAAGAGCGGCAGGGCTGTGTCCCCAGCACCCCGGCCGCCTGCTAGCTCATGCCCGAAATAACAACACACAAACTGTATTCATTTAGACACTGCTTGACCCATTTCTATCTAGCCTCTTCTAGGATAATTCTCACATATTAATTTAGCCCATTTCTAATAATGTGTGTAAGCACCCCAAGGTGCGCTTACCGGGAAGATTCTAGCCTACGTCCATCCTGGGTCAGAGGAGCTTCATTGCGTGCATCTGCCCGGGAGAGCGGAGCATGCCTCTCTGTCTGAGGCGTCTGGCTCTGAGAGGAGCTGCATTACTTCTGACCTCACTTCCTCTTTCTCCCAGCATTCTCCTCTGTTTACTCCACCCACCTATGTTCTAACCAATAAAATGGGCCAAGCCAGTTTCTTTATTAGCCAATGACCTTCCTCCATCATCTCCTTAAGCTAAAAAACAGTACAAAATAAAAAGTAAAAAAACAAAAATAAAAACCTCGCCACTTTATTGATTGAATGAATTAGAAGTTTCTCGTGTTCCAGGTTAAGGTCACAGGTGAGGACTTAGAAAACTCCCCAGAGTCAGAGGGAGTTGGGCATGATGGAGAACACCTATAGTTCCAGCACTCAAGAGGCAGAGGCAGGAGGATCATGAGTTTGGGGTCAGCAGGGAAAATGCAGAGAGACCCTGTTTCAAAATTAAAATAAAAGGGGGCTATGGCTCCGTGATAGCACAACTGTTTAGTATGCAGAAAGTCCTGGGCTCAGCAGGCAGCCCCGACAAAGCGGGAGAGGGGAGTGGGAGAGCCGGAGATGCAAAAGGAAGAGAGAAAAGTTAGAAGCAAAACGAGCCGTCTTTTTCTTCCCCACATCTCCTCACTTCTCCACTTAGCCTGTCTCCCTAAAACTCTTTCCTGCTCTCTCTCCACTTCTGACCAACAAGCCAGGGTCTCTTCCAAGGGACGGCAGCAGGTCACACTACTGGAAGCCAGTGGGAAAGGTGCCATTCTCGGAGCAGTGGTGAAAGCAGGGTGAACTCCTTCAGCGCCCCAGAGGGCTTTGTTGCAGACAGCAGTGCAGCCATAAGAGAGAGCCAAGCCCTGGGTGCCTGTGATACCTCACGAACTTGGGGCTTGGCTCTAGCGGACTCCTACACCAGTGCTCAGAACTGGAGGTTTGCCTAAGTGGCACCTCCACCTCCCACACACTGAGCAACAGCACTTGTTCCCTATTTCTGTGCCAACTTCTCTCTCCTCTTACGACTTAATCCCTCTCCCCCTGCTGTAACTCAGGTCTCAGTCCTATTATCTTAGCCACTAGCCAGGCCCAGACACCCTGTGGTTACTCAGAAAATTAGAGCTCTCTGAGGTCTGTTTGCACAGACAGACGGAACCTGCCCTGCCCAGCACTTGCCTTGATTCTCACTGGACAGCTAGGCCAACCCTGACCCTGGCAATCTTCCAGATCTGGGATGGCCCCCCAAGGCCAGGATGTTGAAGGGCTGGTCTCCTGCCAACAGTGGAACCTTTAGATGATTGCATTCCCACCATGATGTGCTGCGTGACCAAAACAATAGGACCAATGAGTTGTCGTGGTCTGAAACCATGAGGTAAATAACCTTTCTTTTTTTTAAGCTGATTTATCTGTAACAAAAAGCTAAAACATCCACACATCTTCTACTCTGAACTCAACTGTGATTTAGTCTTGGCGTACATGACTTCCCCCTCTACAGAGTTCCTCCTTTTAGCCTATGCAAACCCTGAATACCTGGCTCTCTGGCTCTCCTTAGTGTCCCATAGCTCTTCCTCCCATCCTTGTCAATAGCTTTCTTCTATATGTGAATCTTACAGCTTTTGTGTAAGGGATTTTGGACTTCACTCTTCACCCCACTCTTCTGCCTCAATATTACCAACGACCTAAGGTCCTCCCCTAAACCCCATCTCCTAAAGGTTCTACCACTGCACAGTAGCACCACCCTGGGGGCCAAGGCTTCAACACCACAGCATCCCAGTTGTACAAAAGCTCATGCTCACATCCCAATCCCCATGGGGTAGCTCATGTTATGCTTCAAATCAACAACCAACCAAGATGGCGGCATATACTGGTAATCCCAGCACTGAGGAGCCCGTGCGGAAGATGGTGATAAGTTCAGGGCTAGCCAAGGTTATACAGACCTGTCCTTCCTCACAACCCAACCCTCCAAGGTGAGGCTAGAATCCTCCTACCAGACTTACTAGTATCACGTGCCTTGACATCACAGTCTTATATAATCAACTACTGTAGTTAAGCAAAAAAACAAAAAAAAAAAAAACAAAAAAAAAAACTTAGAAAATTTTATAAACATTTCAAAGGATAAGGAATCTTCATTCTTTTATTCCTATGCTTCAGCAATTACCAGCATCCGTTTCATTGACTTCAAGGATTTTATTTATTATATGTGCATGTTCCTGAGTATATATGTGGGCAGGTTCCCCCACGGGTCAGAAAAGGGCATCAGATCCTCAGGAACTGGAGTCATGGAAGGTTGTGAGCTGCCAGATGTAGAGTGCTGGGTCCTCTGCAAGAGCAGTCAGTGCTCTTTACCACTCTTAACTAGCTCTCAGCCTTGTCACGGACTTTACACATTGTCTCCTCCCTCCCTCCTTCCCTCCCTCCTTCTTTCCCTCCCTCCCTCCCTCCTTCCTCCCCCTCTTTCTTTTCTCTACTATTGTGACCCAGTACATGACATGCTAAGTATTTTCCTAGGAATCCTGGAAATAAAAAGACATTCTATTATAGGTTTTAGAGGTTACTGGGAAAGAGAGGCCAGCCAATACCACAAACTCAGGTCTAACACTTGCCATGACTAACAACCAACATGACTGGAAAGTCTGACTGGTTTCAACTGCTTGGAAGAGGGTCCAAAGTTCAGATAAATTCCCTATCACATGGCAGTGGGTAAACTTGTATAAGAGACTGACTGTAATGACTGCTTCTTGCCTGCTTCCTTCAGTATATTTATCTGTCACCAAGGAAGGGACATCAGAGGCTACTACCCTGGGCAACTGGCAAGACTCCATTTTGACTACAGCGTGAAGAGGGCTCCAAGGTGAGACATACCCCTAAATCTTAATTTCCAAGAATGTCATCGAAACTAAAATGACAAGTAGGGGAAGTAAATGGCTATATATATACATATATATATGTATATACACACACACATATATATACATACATATATATATAGTACCCATGGAGGTCAGAAGTGAGCTGCCCCATGGCCATGGGGATCCTGGGAATGGAACTCGGGTTCTCTGTAAGAGCTTATCCTCCTTTCCAGCTCGTATCTACACAACCTTAACAATATCAATAATAGTAATAGTGTGACTGGCCTATTGGCTAGAAAAGGAGTGTAAATAGGCTAAACTGGTAAAAACCTTGGGACTTGGTTTGGGTTTCCTGGGAAGCCTCTGGGTGCCGGAATCAAACCCAAAGCCTCAAGTATGTCAAGCACGATCCACCAGGGAGCTACATTGCTAGCACTGATAATATGGCTTCTGTTTTCATTTAAACAATAGCCATATTATTAGCACTTTGTATTTTTATCCCTTTCTCCAGTTTACAGATTTTTTTCTCAAAAGAGAATACATTGCTGCCGCAGTCAGCAATAAATATAACATTTTTTATTAAATCGTCTATGTAATTTAAGAAACATTATAAATTTAGAATTCCAAATTTGTTCAAATATCTTAAACTTACCGGGATTCAGTTTCGTTCTCAATAAAGGTTTAAATCTGGTTTATGTGGCTCCTTCCTTTCACAAAAGAAGAGCAAAAATTAATAGCCACAGACACATCAACCTTATTTCCTGGTCCAGAGAGGCTAGAAACTACAAGAGGCTACAAGAGGTAAAAGCATCAATTTGAGAAACTTATAAAATGTTTGATTTGGGGCAATTTTCACATTCTCTGAGTATCTCACTCCCAAATAAAAGAATCGCTGTAAAATGCTGAGGCGTGTTAAGCCCTCAGCATGATTATTGCCATTTGAGTTCATCATCTCCTGCCTATCAATTTCCCTTCTCTGGCTTTAGCTCCCATCTAGCCAGCCTCCAATTATCCTCACGCGGGCGTGGGAGTGGGCAGTGGACAGTCTAGACTTCAATGATGAAACTGGGAGCAGTTCTGGGGTCATCCCGATCCAGTTAGAAATACTGTAGATGAATGAGACATTCTTAGTTCTGAAACTCACTTATTGTGGGCCCGCCTGCTCCTGCCACCGTGCACGTGCGGAAATCGGGGGACACTTTTTGGAACTCATGTCACCAGCCTTGACCCGATGAGCCATCTCCATGGCCCAAGCAGTGTGTCTCAACTCAGGTCACACAATTACTGTAAATGTTAGGTTTACGTTTTAATCTATAGTTCCTGAGTTCCAGTTCAAGGCTCTGAGTACTAAATGAAATACTTGCTTTAAGTAACTTCTGTTTTTAAAATCTGGGGGAGATTTCATTCCCCAGGCTGGTTTCTAATTCAAGCTGAGCTCAGGGACCTTTCTACCACAGCCTTGGGGCTGCTGCAAACTGTAGGTGTACCACGACGCATGAGGACGGACAGGTGCCCGCTGTCAGAGCTAGACAGAGCCCCATCCCTCCCTTCACTCCACCCCTGGCATCATAGCCTAGGGGGCGAATGCCCACATCCCAGTCTGTCTCCCTGAGGGTGACTCTGCCTACAGTCCATTGGCTCTAATTGGTTTGTGCGTCCTCCAGATTAATTTTCAAATGCAATGCCAATCCATACACAGCATCCAGTCATGGAGGAAGGTCTAGGGATGTAGCCATGTGGTAGTGCTTGCCTAGCATGTGCGCGACCTTGGGATTCACCCTTAGCACTGCAAAGAAAGCTAAAACAAAATGGACACAGAAAAGAATATAGTTCTTAGGGCCATTCATATATATGCATATGTATGTATACACATACATATGTAGCTTAGTGCCTTGCTGGAGAGAATTTTTTTTTTTAATAGTGAATGTATCTGACCTCATGCTGGAAAAAAGAATCCTGAAGCAATGACCTGTCACCTTTGTGGGCGGGGCATGTCTACTGCTTCAGGTGCTTCCCTTCTGTTTTCAACATGAAGATGTCCCCATTCTTTCTACTGGAATAAAAGTCCCTTGATAAGCATTCTTAGTCTTTGTTGACATCTTTAATTGCCACAGTTGCTGAGACAAATGCACACACATTTTCAAGGTCTCAGGTACATGCCGCCTATGGTCCCAGTGTACTTATATCCATGCCTCAAGCACGCCATGCCAGTGAAGGAACACTGCCAGGATTGATGAAGATGTTGGCCATTCTATCTTGATTTCTTGTTTGCTTTCATCCTTTGAAGATGGTTAGAGAGGGGCCCTGGAAGGTTACAACAGTTCTACAGAAAACCCAGATGGCACTAGGGGTTAGTCTAGCTAAAAGCCTGCTCTGGATCCTAGATTGCAGCTCATGCGAAAATGGACGACGAATTCTCCAAAGGTGTTCAGCAAGCTGTTTCTGTTTCCATATAGAACACTTATAGACCTGGCAATTCCACCCAAAAGCAAAACTGCGTACCAGCCTCAATTAGACCAGCAGACACTCATTCGATACATTCGTTTTGGAAAATTGTCAAGGCCTACAGGCACATGGTATAATGAAACAACTTACCAAAGAGACTACTCCCTGCCATTTTATGAGATTGGTAAGTGCTATCAATTCGTTAAGAATAACCTTGCCAGTGTGGCAAGGTCAGCATACCCTGGGGATTTACTGCCACAAGGGGCATGACTGGGACCAGTGAAACTGGGGACAGAAATGGATGTGCAGAGAGATCGGGGAGCAGAAAGAAACTCTCTGCATCCGAGACTTTTGAAAAGGGGTGAAAACTCTTTAATGTCCTTCTAGGAAGCTGATTCTCTGAACACTGGGAACAAAATCTTGAGTGTAACCGGTGTTCTGCGAGGTTCTTTTCATTCTAGTCTAAATGCCTGTAACAATTGTTTATCTACACACAGCTCAGAAATTCTAGGCTCCCCTTGTAGCATATTGACACGCTGTGGCCCGTGTAAGGCCCTGAGGTGGACAGGTGATCCTGACATTCACACGACACCTACACAGTTCCCATGGCGCTGTAGTCACCAGAGGGTGCTTTTGACTTTGGCTCATTGAGTACGAATTACTGAGAATTTCTAAATGAGATATCCCCCAAGTTTTGGGGGCTCTCACCCTGTGGCAGGCACATATTTAGTCCTTAGGCATCTCTCTGGGGTGAGTGCTGTTGTTCTAAACAGAGGAAGCCAAGTTTCCAAGATCTCTCATGAACTAAGCCTAAACCACACAGAAAGGAGGAAAGGGGCAGAATTTACACACACCCAGACCACACTGCTCTTCAACATTGCTTGAAAAACAACCGGGAAACTGGTGACATAAGCCTGTGATTCCAGCTATTCCGGAGGCTGAAGCAAGGGGACTAAAAATTCAAAGTCAACCTAGGCTACAAAACAAGTTTTAGAATGGCAGGGTCGGGAAGGATTTCATCTCTCATCTCCAGCGAAGACAGCTGCAGTCTGGAGGGATGCCAGAGCCAGTAGGAAAGGTGTCCACGCTGAAAACCCAGGTCCTCAGAGGATAGCTGACAGAAACATCAGGACACCAAAATAAAAAAATCAAATGAGTTTTTCTTACATTTTTATATAATCTAACAATATGCCCATTAATTAGAGACTAAAGAAAGAACTTTGGATCCCATCCCCCTTTCTATATTTTAGTTACTTTTTTTTTTTTTTTTTTGGTTTCTCGAGACAGGGTTTCTCTGTGGTTTTGGAGCCTGTCCTGGAACTAGCTCTGTAGACCAGGCTGGTCTCGAACTCACAGAGATCCGCCTGCCATCCTTATGTTATATGTATACTTACACACACAAGCATGCAGAGGTCACAGGACAACTGGGGGGAGTTGGTTCTCTCCTTGCACTCTCTGGAGCCAGGATTGAACCCCACTTCTCAGATTTGGCCGGAAGTGCCTCCTTCCCCCATCTCGCTGGCACCCACATTTTAATTATGTCCCTTTAAATGTCTTCAATTACTTTTGTACTGAACACAGTTGCTAAAAAGATGGTGTAAGAGTAAGTAGCCCCCCCCCAAAATCACTAATTTCTTTTACATTCCAGGTTTGGATCAGAAAATAGGCACACTTTCATCAAATCCTAGACCTCTTAATTCACTACCAGAAATCTACTGCTGTGCCGAGAGAAACGGCTTTTCAAGAAACACCTTTTAAAACGCACTTAAAGTGTGGTATTCCAAGAAAACAACTTTGGGCATTTTTTTTTTGTGAGTAAATTAATGGTAACAGCACTACTTGTAAGAGTGTATGCAGATGGATCTAATCCTAAACAAATATTATGCTGCAAATTCTCTCCAGAGAAAATTGGTCAGGAAATCAAGCTCCAACCCTGAGAACATCTGTCATCTGCTGAAGAAGCTAGCTGTGTAATACAGTGCTTGCAAGGGGAATAAAAAGTACGCGAATGTCCTAATTTTGTTATAAGTGTTTAGCATCTTGTTACTGACAACCATCTAACCATCTTACCTTCGCAGTAAGTGCTCATCTATGGGATCAGAGATCACTAGCCAAGGAAGAAGACTGGGAGACAACTGTGGGTCCGCAGTGGGATTCGGGACAAGCAAAGAGGGGAATTAATGAAAGTCTGCATCCAGGATTATCATCCTTCTCAACAACACACCCCTATGGTAGGACTGTGAAGGTTCCTGTAGGAACCAAGTCTAACGACCTTTAAAAATAGGGATGGGGCAATTTCTCACATCAAAAGCTACAACATGCCATCTAACAAGGGATGTGTGAACTTGCTTAAGCAATGAACCATACGTGGTATACCAGCTGCAACTGGGGAGCCACTAGTTAAGTGACAACTACCACTTAGCAACAATCCACTGTTTTCCTCCCAAACCCACACGGGAGATGCCTGGGCTCTTTGGAATCATAACTCTTACTTTAATGTGGCAGTGACACCTCTAACCCCCCAGGGATACTTCTGCTTTGGACTTAACGATTTCCTTAGGCAGAAGCAGTGCTAACAACTTCCAGGTAGCCTCTCCCACCAACTAGTCCCCAGCCACCAATACAGGATTCTTCTAAATGCTAAGCAGTATTCTCATTAATCCTCCTGCATCTGAAACAGTGACATCCCAGGTTCAAAGCCATTAGACACAGCACTGACCCACACCACTACAAAAGCCAATCTAGAACCCGCCAGTTTCAGATCTGGAATCAGCCAGTTCTGAGCCAGTCCCCACAAAGGTGAATCATATTTCCTTCAACACACACAAACATTAGTAAAAGTCTACATGATCCTTGGGGAGAAGCTAGAGTTAATATTAACAGTAGATGCTATGGGTGATGGGCAGGGTCTTTAGGCAAGACCAAGCTCCCCTTCATACAGACAGTACTAAGGATGGAATCCGGGGCCTTGAGCACTCCACCACCTGAGCTCTATCTTCAGCCCCTATATAACCCCATCTGTTTCTTTTAGCTAAAGGTACAATGAAGTCTGATTGTTTTTCAATGGCTTTTACCAATCTTTGCCTTTAAATTGTATCTAATCCTCTTACACAGATTGCCAACCACTTCTTCAGTTTACAGTTTGCTCTTTTCATGACCTATACTTTGTAAAATAATTTTTTTTTTTTTTTTTTTTTAAGTTTAAGACAGGGCTTCTCTGTGTAGCCGAACTTGCTCTGTAGATGAGGCTGGCCTTCCTTGAACAGAGATCTACCTTCCTGGTAATCACTCTTAAGTGATTACCACAGAAAGTACAAATTCATGTTCTAAATCTAGATTTAGGTCCTAGCAGAAGCTGTCCCTACTTATTGTCAATTACATTTTTATAAAATGCACCGCATACCATAAATTGTCTTCATCTTTTCCCACGACAGTGCCACATGTTTTGATTATAGTAGTTCTGGCGAAGGCAGAACCTCCTGAGCCACATGTGGGAAGTAGGGTCCTGAAAGACAGGCCCAAGTAATGCGGAGCTACATGGTGACTTCCAGGCCAGCCTGTCTCAAACACGCACAACCTCTCACATTATGTTCTCAAAACTGTCTCGTGTCTCTCCTCCTAATTCTATAGTACCCAATTAATATCAAATGTGCATACTAACCTTCCCTGCTCAAGCATCTTGTGCTACAGTTGGGTATGCTTAGCTCTGTGGTGACTCCCACTTGCAGTCATTCAATAGTCTACTAAATTCTAAAACCAGGTTTAAAGATGTATATGCCCACCACATGTGAGTGTCCATGAAGGCCAAAGGACAGCATCAGACCCCGAGACCTGGAGTCACAAGCCGTAACAGGTCCTACATCCTAACCTACAGGACTCTGCCACGTCCCTCAGTCGGCTGCCAACCTCACCCAACCCCTTGCTAATTTGGTTCCATTTTTCCACTTCTGCAGAATCTAGAGTGGACCCAGAACATTTTCCCTCATGCTAATTTGTCTAGTTAATGTGTTTAAGCATCTCCTAAGAGCCTTCTCTGGCCCTTGCCAGACATTTTGATTAGGTTTCATTCATTTCACCATGCACGCTTCATTGAAGCATTTAACATCATTAATTAATGCTTAGCATGCTGCCGCTACCATATCTTTCATAACTATATAATTGCCCCTGCTACTGCATATCTAGTATCTAACAGAAGGCACATACAGCCTTGTTAAATAAATTGTAATAGTTATCAAAGGTTTGAAAGACAGCTTTATTTAAAGAACAGACCATCTCTCCGAATAAACCAACAGCTCACATTCAAAGAGAAACTAAATTATCCACAGTGGTTTTAAAATCAGTAAATAACAGCAATCGGAGGTATTTTGGGTAATGGAGGAAAAATTCCTGACTTGAATGAAAATGGGTTCATTACTGAAAATGTTTCAACAATACAATGCTTATGGCAAAGAATACAGATCTTCCAAGGCCTTGCAGTTTTCACAGGGTGAAGTAGGGTTTACCGGCTCTGCTCCGTTCTCAAGTGTTACACAGTTAGCGCGGGCTGGTGGGGTCACTTGTGTTTATTTATTGAGTCCAATGAAACGGCTAGTTTGGAATTTTTCTTAACCATATATTAATAAAATACTTCAGGGTTAAGACACTTGAATCCTCCTAATCTCTGCCTACCCTGTCCCCATGCACTTCTCAGGGTATCCTTCCTCCTCACTAGGGTTGCTATGAACACAAGAAAAACAACACACAAACCATACTGGAAATATTTGGTTCTTTTTAATTAGCTATTGATGGTTATAATAAAATAATTTCAAGTGAGACCTAATTTAAGCATTTAGTAGTCCACGGAGGCTAATCTACGGCACGATGAAAAGCCTAACTGCCAAATAACAAACACCACTCTGCCTTTCAGTAAAGGAGATAAAGTCATGATCAAAATTATGGCTGACAATTAGGGTTCATGTGGGTACTTATGAGTCGTTCATTTTGTAGATATACTGGCAGGCACAATGTTGAAAGTCAACCCACTGTTCTTAGAAATAACAGAATACTTAAAAAATAAAAAGGAAAGATATACATTTGATTGAGCTCATACCTGAAAACAAAAAAAAAGTATTCACCAAATATCACAACAGATTTTTTAATAATTATTTTTTAACATTATGATTGTTATTGTAGGGAAACATCTCTTTGAACACTGAATTAAATGTTCATTGTATTAAATAACTGTAGAGAGAACTAAGTTCTGTGCTCTATACAAATGAAAGGTTCCATGAACATACTCCCCCCTCCCAAACCAAAGCTCGATTTTGCAATGGCCTCAGGAAATAAGCAGTTCACAATTTACACAGAATTCATAGCATTACAAAAGTGACAGAACCCATCTTTTCATTTCTCTTTCTAACAACAAAGATTACAATGACAGAATTGAATGATCAGAATGTAAAAATACTTGTGCAAAACTGCAATAATTGTTCTCACTATCTAGTCGGGATAAAAACTCAAACACAATGACAATAATGAAGAAAAACTACACTGGAAGATTTAGATTTCAAACAACAGGGATTATACAATTACTAAACATGGAAAGGAACTGTGTGTGGCACCATGAGCAGCAGGAGCAACAGATGCGGCGGCCATGCCAGCTGAGAAGCTGGATGGGAGGGCGCCAGTCTATCCATGACAGCCATCCGTCAGAGACTGCAAACCAATGCCAGCTTAAAACTCATTTCAATGTCTTTATTCTTGAATTTGCAGATCATAGAGAAATGTTTAAGTATCTTTCCCCTCCCTCTCAAGGAGTGTCGCGTGCACTGCTGGCAGTCCTTAGAAGAGCTGAATCATGGACTCTCTGGATTTCCCTACACCAATCCACTTAACTGGAAAACAAAACAAGGAGAAGAGCATCAATAAAGTCCCCTGTGACATTTAACATTGGGATGAAGAGAGAGGAAAGTCCGACTAGGCAAGAGCTGAACTCCTAGCTGTGCTTCATTTTAAGAGTGATGCTGTATTTAAAAAGTAGAGGCTCAAAAAGTAAAGCATCAGGTTTAGATTCAATGTCATTAACCAGTACTATGAGGGATTGACTTGAATTTTTTTAAAGTTACTGTTATTTCTTAAAGGCAGAAATAATAATAAATGCTGAATATCTTTGATCTCAAAACCAAAGAACCATGGATATACTTATGTTAGATAATTTAGTATATAAGAAACCTTTTAAGGTATCTATTAATGTGGATTCTGAGAATCAAAAGAAAAGGGTTTCTGGGGTACTCTGTCAAGATGGGAATTCTTCCATGTGGGGCTGGAGAGATGGCTCAGTGGCTTAAAGTACATGCTGCTCTTGCAGAGGACCCTAGTTCAATTCTGAGCACAACACGGTGACTTAAAACCATCCATAGCTTTAGTTCGTGAGGACCCATGGTGCACCTTCTGGTACTGTGGGCACTGTACCCATGTGAAACATATACCTTATGTATAGGCACACATAAAATAATAAATAAGCCTTAAATAAAAGCTCTCCCATGTAATAATTTTAGCATATTATAAACATAAAACATGATTTGCTGAAGAAAGTGGTTTAAAATTGAAGAAGTACATACTGTGCTGGAGTACTTTTGTGTTTATTCTAAAAAGACAGGAATGCACAGGAAACACTGCCATCTTTAGGCAAAGTGATTTGAAGATGTGATTTGCCTTTTCTTAAGCCATTAGAAAATTAAGTTGAGAATATTTCTGCTTCAGGACTTTTCTGTAAGATTTCTTGTCATGTATTGTTTTTTAAAAAATGATGAACTAGTTTCACATTTAGTGTGTTTTATGATTGGCAATGTACCACATAATTTTAAAGTGAGCTCAAGTTTGTATATTTTTATT